AAGGACAGGGAAGTGAGATGAGAGGAGAGGAGGAAATAGGGAAGGGGATGGAAAGGGAGAGGAAAGGGGATGGAAAGGGAGAGGAGAGGGAATGGAGAGGGAGAAAAGGACGAAGTACGAAGGTTGGCGGTGCGGGGTGTGTGTGATGTGACGTTTTCGTTGTTCAGAAAATGCTGTTTGAGCAGAAGGGATTCTTTTTTCACTCCCTTTTCGATCTGTTATTTCCTTTGTTGTTGTCGTCTTTATGTCATGGGGATGATCCTTCACAAACGTGGGCTTTAATTGGACACAAGTTCTCCCTCACCACCTGCACCTCCATCTCCCTCTTAGGCCTCCTCCTCCTCTTCCTCCTCCTCCCCTCCCTCTTTTCCTCCTCATCATCATGACCACCACCACCATCATCATTTTCATCGTCATTCGTCTCCCCCTCCCCTGTCTCTTGTCCCTCCTCTTCCTTCTCTCCTCCTCCTCCTCCTCTTTCCCCTCCTCCTCCTCCTCCTCCTCCTCCTCTCCTCCTCCTCCTCTCCTCCTTTCCCTCCTCCTCCTCCTCCTCCTCCTCCTCCTCCTCCTCCCCTCTCCCTCCTCCTCCTCCTCCTCCTCTCCTCTTCCTCTTCCTCTTCAGTCTTTTCTTCTTTTCCCTCCTCTCCTCCTCCCTCTCCTCCCCTTCCTCTTCAGTCTTTTCTTCTTCTTCTTCCTCCTCCCCTCCTCCTCCTCCTCCTCCTTTCCCTTCTCCTCCTCTTTCTCTCCTGTTCAGTCTTTTCTTCTTCTTCTTCCTCCCTCCCCTCTTCCTCCTCTTCCTCCTCCTCCTCCTTCTCTTTTCCCTCCTCCTCCTCCCCTCTTCCTCCTCCTCCTCCTCTCCCTCTTCAGTCTTTTCTTTCTTTCTCCCTCCTCTCCCCCTCCTCCCTTCCTCTTCAGTCTTTTCTTCTTCTTCCTCCTGCCCTCCTCCTCCTCCTCCTTCTCCTCTCCTCCTCCTCCTCCTCCTCCTCCTCCTCCCCTCCTCCTCCTCACTCCTCCTCCTCCTCCTCCTGTTCCTCCCCTACACCCACATCTTCCTTCCCCACCCCACCACCACCAACCTCTCACCTTTCCTCCATGACCTACTAGAAGCTTCTCGACTCCGGGGGTGCAGTAAATACTCCGCTCTCCCCCGATGTTATACATCATCAATAAAATGCTTTAAGGGAAACATGATGTTGGAGGCTACAGGGTCGCGGAGGGAAGGGGGATATGTGCTTGTAGGTATTTGTGCATTTGAGAGGGGATGTTCATGGCGAATCTGGATGGAGGTGGACATGTTTTGCGTTCTTCACATGCAAATATTTTTTTCCTTTCTGCTGTCTTTCTTTTATTGCCGTATCACCCTCTCCTCTTTCTTTCATTGCCCCGTATTACCATTTCCCCCTCCCTTAGATTTCTAGTTATATGTGTACTATTCCCTGAGAGTCCTTTCATTTTCTTGCTTTTATTGTCAGTTCCTGTTATTTTCTAGTTTCTAGTTATCTTCCCAATTATTTCTTCCCGTGTATCTTTTCCCTTTCTCCCTCCGATAAGGTAGACAGATGAGCGTCGCCCTGATTGCGTCAATGGAAATGTCTCAATTTTCATAAGATGCTCTCTCTCTCTCTCTCTCTCTCTCTCTCTTCTCTCTCTCTCTCTCTCTCTCTCTCTCTCTCTCTCTCTCTCTCTCTCTCTCTCTCTCTCGTCTCTCTCTCTCTCTCTCTCCCTTCCCTCCCCCTCCCTCCCTCCCTCCCTCTCTCTCCTTCTCTCTCCTCTCTCTCCTCCCCCTCTCCCCTCTCTCACTCACTCACTCATTCACTCATTCATTCACTCACACACTCACTCAACTCACTCACTCACTCACTCACTCACTCACATCACTCACTCACTCACTCACACACACACCACACACGCGCACACACACGCAAACCACACACACACACACACACACACACACACACACACACACACACACACACACAACACAACACACAACAACACACACACACTTTCCTTCTCTTCTTCTTCTTCTCCTCCCCCCTCGCTCCTCCTCCTCCTCCTCCTCCCTGCCTCCTCCTCCTCCCTTCTCCCCCCCCTACGACCCCCTTTCCCCCTTTTAGACTCCTGCTAGTAAACCGCACATTGATAATTCCTAGAAATGAAAAAGAATATACCACTGTTATGTTGAAACCCCCAACCTCCTCTCTTGTTTCCCTTCCCTCCCTTTTTGTTCTCCCATCCCTTGTTTCTATCTCCTGCTTACCCCCTGTCCTCCCTCCCCGCACATTCAAGAATGGGAGTGGCGACTCATGACGTCACAAGGTATTGGTGAAGCGACAGCCAATCAGCGCGCGCCGTGGCAGTTCTTGCGTCATCACGAGACCACGAGAGGGTGCCTTTAGTACGGCGTTCTTTTCGAGTTTATACAATTACCTAATAACAACAAACGAAAGGATTGGGTGTGCGAGGACTCGTTTTGTCACATGCTGGACTAGTTTTTCGT